TTTTTTTTTTTTTTTTTATTTATATTTTCCGTAGCATCATTTCTAACTTGATTAATTTATAATAAATATACATTTTTTTTTTTCATTATTAAGAAAAAAAATAGAAAAAAAAGTCCAAATGTTTATATATATATATGTATATATTTCAAAAAGAAAAAAAATTCATTTTGAAAAAAAGGGGAAGAAAAATTAAAGGTGACGAAAAAAAAAAGCTTGGACCTCCTTCTTATTATTTTCTGAAAATTATTTTAAAATTTGTAAATTATTATTCAGCGGTAAATCTTACACAATCATCTTGAGAACCTATGAAAAAAAAATTAAAAAATTTATAAATTTTTTATTAGTTTCGTCGCGATACATTTATTAATTTCATAAATTACAAAAAATTTTATAATTATAATTACCTCTTTGAGCAACAGGCATTAAAACAGGTTGATGAGCAAATGAAGAAACCATGGTGCAAAGACGATAGTCACCAGCTGGCAAGCCTTTTTCAACTAATGCGGTTAATTCACCATTGCCGTCTGCTGGATCATTTAAACCTTTGAAGAAAGCGAAGATTTCGGGATTAAGAGGTTCATCAGGATTATCAATTTTTTGAACTGTTACGTGGGAATGGCCTTGAATAAATCCATCATTATCAAGAGTTTGTGGGAAGATGTAATATTGTTTTACGGGATCATCGAAAAAGCCAGTTCTTAAGTTAATTGTTTTGGTTCTAATAGTGAATGCTGTGTTAGCCGGAATCTTATCATTATTCTTTGGGAAACGGATTACAGTTGAAACCATTTGTTTCTTGCTTGGAATTTCTCCCATAACTGTAGTTACACATTCACCATTAGGATTTTGAGTTCCATTAAATAGGTCTTTCTTGGATATGTCACAAACATTATTTCCAGTATTTGAATCTACAGAGAATACTACTGCAAAGATATAAGCGGCCAAAATTGCCGAAATGATAAGTGATTTTCTTAAGAGACTCATTGTTTTTTTTTTATATTAAATTAAAATTATTTTAAAAAAAAAATTTATATTCTTAAATATTATTTTAATGGTAGTTGAAAAAAAATAATTTGGATAATTTGAAAAGGAATTCTTATTTTTTTTTTTTTTTTAAATCAAATTAATAACAGTCAACTTAAGAATACACGATAATAATATACTGTATAGTAAAATGTACTATTTATTAGATATAGAATTAAAAAAAATTATTATATTATTATATTAAATTATTATATTATATTAAATTATTTTATTATATTAAAATAAATTAACGAAGACTATAAAAAAAAAATATCTATATATAGGACAATTTAACCATAAGTAGAAAGTTAAAAATATATTAATTATATTAATTATAAATTCTATATAAACTTGGAAAAATGGAAAACCGATAAAGCCCGCAATCATAACGTAAGTTTAGAGCCACGAGAATTTTGTTATATTTTAAGAAATGGATCCGAACCGATCGGCTTAATTTCTCATTATGATAAAAATCTTTCGTTATACAAAAAAAAAGTACAAATGAAAAAAAAAGTAGATTCATATAAAAAAGTACAATAATAAAGAATAGGTAGTGATACAAGAAAATTAGTTAACAGGAAGGTGGTACAACTAAGGTTTATATTATCTAAAAAGGAAATAGCATGTTCATCAGGGATGTGATGGATAACAAAAAGTACACTCAATACCTGTGGATAGTCCGGACAATAAGATAAAATATATATTTTAATATATCAATTGTTATTTTATATATTTTAAAACTTTCTTCCGTGTGAAAAATTTAATATAAATAATAGAAAGCCAAGACCGGGGAGCTTAATAGGGTTTGATTGAATTTTTTGAATGAGCAATTTTTGACCATTAATAAATGTTTTATGCATGTAGTTAACGTTTCACAAAAAAAAAAAAAAATGACAAACATAGTTAAAATAAACAACTAATATAAATAAAAATTAATTAGCTAAACGCCAAAGTAAACATCAAAGCAGGAGAGAACAAGATAATTGGAAAGTACAAAAATAAACTTTCAAAAAAAAACGTTAACTTATATGAAAATTTACTGCGGATAAACTAAGGTTAACTAAGATTAGATGACAGGTACTTTTTTTGTGTAAAAGGAACTTACGATGTTTGTACAATAAACCAAATATATATATTTTTTTTTAAAAAGAATTTTTCCATTAAAAGTAAGTGTTGAAGGGATTTTCGTTTAGAAAAATTTTCATACCATATCGGAAAATCATTCATTTGTTTTACAAAATCAATTTTATATATAAAAAACGAATCAAACGATAAAAATAATTAATTATTAAAATATTCCCGGAATACGATCCGCGATGGTTTTTTTCACATTCATTACATTCATTATACATAATTGTTATTGTTATTTATCTTTTATTATTTATTATTCAACAAATTATTTATTATTACATCCGATATTATGTAACAAATTTTCTTTTTTTGTCTTTTTGTACACACAATTTATTTTTGTATATTTTACTAAAATCGTAATTTCCGTAATTCTTTAAACTTTATAATATAAAGAGTTACCAAATAATAATTATAATTGGAAGGAAGAAAAGGAGAAGGAGAAATCTCATTAAGTAAATAAAGTAAATAGAATCACGAAAACCACATAACTGGTAACTGGTAAAATATGCAGATGATTACATACTTCGTTTCTAAATAATTTTTATAATTTATAATTTATATAATTTATCGAAGAAATTAAAGTAAAAAAAAAAAAAATACCGCATTAAAAAGGTAGCGTACAAAAATTTTAATTATCCTTGGCATTTTTTTTTTTAAAAAAAATGGGGTATAAAAATAAACAAACAATAGCACAACATTTTAATAAGGAGGAGCAATGTGGCGAAATTATATTATTTTTCTAATTTAGCCAAGTAACTTTTTTCTTTTTTTAATTAAAAAAAGTTATTTAATTTAAATGACAATAATATAAAAGGTCATTCGATTCAAGTTTACATAAAAGTTAATGTCATAATGAGAGAAAGGATCGGAGAAAAGAATTACGGAATTTAATTACATCATTTTTATTTTTAAAATAAAATGGATCAACATTCTAATTTTAACATCAGATGTACAATGTACAACCCATGATATTTTTTTTTTGATTGTTAATTACTTGATTAGCTTAAGTATGTAAGTATAATGGACCCGTTATCTCGTGTTTCTTAAATGACAGACATAATGCATGTATATGCATATAGTGACGAATTTTTGCTTATACAAAAAAAATTTTAATTTACACATTGTGTAATATAAGGGATAAAAGTAACATTTTCATTTGAAAATAACAAACTGGAATATGGAATACAAACAAATTTTTTAGAAACTAATTTCTTTTTTTTCTCTTTGAATGATAAATAATAATGCATTGTTTTCAATCCCATCATAAATATTTTTTTTGTTTGATAAAGAATTTCCGGTTTTTTAGCAAGAAATTTAAGAAAGAAGTGATAAAAAGTAACAAAGAGATATAATTAAACCTGTGTATTGTTACAATATGCGTTATTAACGCCAATGCAACCGTAATCATTTTCATATAATAATAATAATAATAATGTTATTTAGATGGTCTTAAAAACTTTGATGAACAAATCTATCTTTTTGAAATTATTTATCTTTTCATATTTATTCTATTTTTAGTAAAAATTTTTTTTTTTTTTAGGCACGTTTTCTTATAAAAAATTTGAGTAATAATTTTAAAAACAATATTTAATGATTCCAACAATACCATATTTGTAAAACAGCTTTATTCATTTTTTTAGAAATTTGGCGAATAAGAATGACTCTACTAAAAAAAAATAATTTCATTATTAATAATGAAAATAAAAAAGGAAAAATTTAACCTAATTTTGTAAAAAAGAAAAAAAGAAAAAAGAAATAAAGAAATAAAGAAATAAAGATGATTTTCTGATTACTAACAAACAATGAAAATAGAAAAAATAGAAACTAATTCCAAATTCGAATATGTCTCTCATAAAAAAAAAAAAAAAAAATTTTTTTACAAGGGTATATTGAGAAAAACTCTCAGAAAATCCATCTATATTACCCATACAAATAACATTCAATTTTTTGTTTTATATTATAAAGCATTCAACTTATTTAAAATAATATATCTGTCATAATTAATATAATTTTATTATTAGTGGTATCTATATAATTTTTTTATTCTCAAATATAAAATTATCATAAAACTACGATAAATGCAACGGAAGCTTTATTGAGTGATTTGCAACTACGATAAATGTAACGGAAGATTTATTGAGTGATTTGCAACTACTCTTATGGATTATGGACAACCTGCGCCCGATGTCATAGTATGCGCAGTAAAAAAAAATATCTCTTTTTAATGGGAATTAGAATGAAATTTCCACATGTTTCCCCAAGGCGTACATTTAACATCAAAACATCTACAATTATTTAATATTTTATCTATATTTAGTAAAATGGTATTTTTATACGATTCGTTATGAATTACCCAAATCAATATTTCCTATCATAATTTCTGATTACAGAAGATGGATAATTTGCAGCTAAAAAAAGTATTATTTTATTAGTTAAAAATACTAGGTACAACGGAACACATGAAAAATACGTGGTACAATAGACAATGTAAATTTAATTAATGTAAGCAAGCAAGCAGTGACATATTATAATTTACTGTGCCGTATATAGTATATTATAAAATTATTTAATGCATTCCGCATTTTATTTTACGTCATAAGGATATATTAAAATTCTATATTGATCTTTCCATTAGCAAACGACAATTATGGTTTCTTTAAGATTTTCATGTGTAATTCTCTTGAAATTATAGTATGATAGTATGATTTGAATTATTCCACTTCAAAACCACCATAGGTTTATATGATAGTTATGCGTGCTTATATTTAATTTGCACATATTACAGTATGTACTATGTACCGTACCAAATATTTTTTCTCATATAAAATTTTTTTAATCTTTTTTAAATGATTCACTTCACTTGCACCCGAAATTGCCTATATACTGCTGTATATACTAAGACTCGTTTTAATGCTACCGCTAAGAGAGTGAACAAGTAATTAAATTTGTTACACAATTTATAATATTTATTTATTATATATTTGTTATAAATAACGTAATAAATTCTAAATGACTCATTATAAACCAAACTAAGAAATTAATCATTATAATATAGAAAAGAGAAATAATAGATCATGTTGCATTTTTCGGTCACATGCAAAATAAACCATTCTATTGGTGAAACATGTTCGACATAAAAAGCTAAAATTTTTATGGGGTCAAAAGATTCGGATATTTCATGTTTACACAAAAAAATCAGATAAATCAGAACCCGACCGCAACCGGATATGAATAGGGCTAAATATGATCAATAATACGATCAATGTATAAAGATATAAAAGACAGAAAATTTTTTAATCATTATTCTTATTTCTTTATATTTTCTCATTTTACGTTATTATTATGATAAATAATTAAATATTTTTTTTTTAATATTGCTTAAATATTACTTTATATTCTTTACTCACTGGAAAATAAAACTAAAATGTATTAAAGTAGATATTAGCTTTAATATTTATTATAATTTAGTATTTGTTAGATTTTTATTAGTTAGATAATTGCAATAGTTAAAATTAAAGACTGGATGTACCCCGTCCCGTGATCACAGTTTGCGATCGCTTCTATTCAGGTAATCAGACCTGATGCACACACGGAAGCTGCTGTTGTAAATGTCCTTTATTTTTGTTTTTGTTATCCCTATATATATATATATATATATACTGATCCTTATTAGCCTTTTTTGTAGAATAAGCTGGAAGTACGCCATGGCCATACTATGCAAATATTTATATTTATATAACAGTGTGTAAATGCTTCACTTGATTTATTTTCTTAGTCGTAAATTATTTTCTTGTTAAATTGGAACGGTGTTATTTATTTTCTTGGTCGTAAATTATTTCTTGTTAAATTAATTAATGTAGTCGTAAAAAGTCTTATACTAGGTAAGGAATAAGGATACGGTATATCTTTTTCTTTCTAACTTCATAGCTCGAAACTAACGCGTCCATTCTAAATTATTATCGTTTAGGAATAAAATTGATTTCATGTAGGATTCTAATAGAGGGCGGCCAGGGCGCGTATAAAGATATATTTACAACATACTATTTTAAATGTTTAATCTTTAATTTGACCAATCTCCAATTTGATGATAATTAAAGTTGTTATTATACTGTGAATTAGTGAATTAGTGCTTTTTTTTATAGTTTCAGCAAATTATCCATGAGTTACGGTCGAAAGATCGCATTGTTTTGAAAACGTGACAAAATTTCAAATTATTATTACTTACTGTAATAAGTTTTATTGAAAATATAATTTTTATCATATTATTAGACATTATATTATTATTAAGGTTATCACGCAGAATAAAGAGTTAAAGACTCCATACTATTTATGACAGTTATGACAGACACTATATTGTTAGAAGATGAATCATTCGGAAACAAACTTGCAGCATATTAGTGATACTTACAGTATAGTATCTCAACTATCCATTTATATTTTATAAAAAAATAGGACGATTATTAAAAGATACTTACCAAAGTAAATGAATTTTAAATTTTTCTTTTTTTTTTAAAAAAAATACTTTATATTGTTCAAAAAAGAATAGATTGCAAGAAGTGTATAATTAATGTTATAAATCGGGAATACATTCAAGTTAATAATTCAGAATTTTTAACGTTAAGATTTAAAATTTATAAAATATTAGCAACATCCCGTTGCTTCGCACAGAATTCAACGAACTCATACCGTATAGTAAGCACGAATAATATCCTGAAATTATTCCTGAAGATAAGCTGTAGCGAGAAGACCGCTCAATTTGTAGGTGAGTATTATATTAACTTTTTAATTTATTTAAATAATATATTAAATTTATAATTTTTGTGATAAATTATGATATCATCAACAAAATTCATGATACGAATCTTAAATGACATAATTCTACCGTCACGTTATACACGTTACGTAATCACGAAGAAACAGATCAGCTAGATCAGCTGCTGGTATACTAATAATTCATTCATACAGGGTACATAATCTAAATATGATCAAATTACAATAAATAAATTTCAAAAATTTTCGGGACGAATTAATTTAAACTAAACAAACAAACTTTGAAATCCAATAAGATTCAGATCTTCATTTTAATAACTTTCTAAAAAACAAATAGATATTCATTATTACATTATACAATAATTAATATGGACATATTATAAACATTTTAATGTTGTATAATTGCTTTTTTATCTCATCGAAATGACGAAATGTGTAATGACGCAATGTCTAACCACACAAACAAATCTGTGCGACAGTAATTTTCTCATTTGTAAATAGCCTAAATAGCCTATAAAAAATTTTCACGCCACGGAGTCGGTAATCTACGCCAGATAATCTTAATTCCTAGATTGGCTAACTTACCGAAAAGGCGTTCAAGAGTTTTTCAATTTGAATTTTTTTTTATAAATACCTCAATGATTTTACTTTCCAAAATTTTCTTTACGGTAGCTAACTGAGTTAACTGCCAAAATATTTGGATTACACTGCGCCACAATTTGACAAAAACCAAGTATACTATATAGAACTAGTAAAAACATCAATTAAGATTATTGTATTTATGTGCAGAGATTGCCAATTAGTTTAAATCAAGATTATATCGCATTGAGAAGTGGGTTAATTGGAGAATATATTTTTTTTAATGATTAAAAGAATTAGGTGTTGAATTAATTGGAGTTTGAAAAATAAAAAATTTTTAAAGTTATTATGACCACGTTACAAGAATTCCTAAACGAAAATTATTTATAATTATTTATTTATGTAACTAATTCTACATAACAATTGTTTTAATGATCAATAAAATTTCATTGATAAAATTTTGGCTCTAAAAATTTTACGAAAACTATAACGTGTTGTGGGTCCAATTTTATTTAAGTCCATAATTCGAAGCAGCAATCTACTAACACTTTTAATATGCATTCAGAATTTTTCCATTCAACTTAACTAGGAATTTACGATTTAAGTATGGAACAAAATTAGCCAATTTAGCCAACGGTACGTATGCAGCAGATCTAAAAGATATTATGACTCAAGTGAACGCGAAGTCCTGCTTCGTACCAAAAAACAGATTTTCGCAGAATTATGAAAAAGTAATTTATATATTTTACGACTTCACTGAAAGATATCGATTCGCTCTAAAATAATATCGATATTTAAATCAGTAAATCATCGCAATAGTCTCGAGTAATCTAGAAGGCGATTACCGTGATCGTGTCATTTGATAACTACGCCCATCAATAAAATTTTCGTATGTGAATCCGAATTTATTCAAACTCGAAGGTTTAGTGTTGAGAATTTCAAGTGAGAAAAATTATTTCATGTCCTAAAACAAAATGAGATTTATATAATGCAGAGCATCATGAAAGTGTTGTTTTCATTTCGTTGTTCTAATATCAATCTACTTAATTATTAATTTTAATTTTTTCAAAATTTTGTTATAACCTTTAAGGATGAAAAATGTAATAAATATTATCAACATTTAATATGTAAATATATAGAGAATAATTAGTATGTTTGTTATTACTTAGCAATTTATTTATTTATTTATTTATATTTAACTTCATTTCAATAAGAAAGTATTACCATAACGACGTTGACTCTTCAATTCAATAAGAAAGTATTATACCATAACGACGTTGACTCTTCAATTCAATAAGAAAGTATTATACCATAACGACATTGACTCTTCAATTCAATAAGAAAGTATTTATACCATAACGACATTGACTCTTCAATTCAATAAGAAAGTAAGTTTCTATATTACCATGATGGCTTTGACCAATATTTGAATATTGAAGCAAAACTTCCAGGATAAGTATCCTTTTCTTTCGATCCAATTTTTCTACCTAATCCATATGAGATTTTTTCGGTTAATTTATATGTCATATCATTAACCTTATTAAATTCAGCAAGTACTCTTTTCGATGATGGATTTCCTCCATTTCTAGGTAAATAAAATGGTACCATGAGGTTAAAAGCTTTAATCGACTTTTTCATAACTGGATCCTTTTTTTTTGAAAACAGTGATTCAAATAAAATAGATGATAGTTCATTCAAAAACATTTGTATGGCTATATCTGTCGGGGTTTGTCCAAATGAATTTTCGTGAAATAAGGAACCAAACTTCTCATCATCTTCAACTGTAATCGTAGATTCTAATTCAATCAATTTTTTTGAAATATACCAAAGACCTTCTCTAAGAGATAAATGAAGATATCGATTGTTCTCAAAATCATGAGTGAATAAATTCGCAGTAGAGACATGTTGTAAAAGATATTCAGTTAGTTTGATGTTGGAATTTAGAATCGAGATTGATATTGGTGTATGGTTGAATGATTTACTACGTTTTTTCAACATTCCCTGATAAATTTCTGGTTGCAACAACTCATGCAATAAACTCATTAATTCATCATTGTTTTTATTTCTATAATAAAAAAGTTAATACTTTTAAATAATTAACTAAAAAAAATAAAATAAATATAAAGTTATGAATATTTATACGTACGCAGCATAATGAGCTAGAGACCAACCATTATTATCCGCTATTTCGGGATTTGCTCCAACTTCTAATAATGTTCTAACGCAGTTATTGTGACCAAAGTAAGCAGCCAAAAGTAAAGCAGTGACTTTATTGCGATCGGTTCTCATATCTAGGATTTCTTCAATTGTTAATTGTTGTTCCTTATTGTCTCCTGCTTGTTCATTAATTTCTTTCTCTTTATATAATTTAACTAGTTCCTCAATTGCATAGTGTTTATTTCCATCTACAGCCCAATGAAATGGTGTTTCATTATTTCTAAATAATTCGTAAGTAAATAATTTTCTTCCAACATTTTGAATATCTTCAATTGTATTCAAAATCGTTACTCTTAAATCTTTGGAGTTGTTATTAATGTATTTTTGTGCAAACTTTTTCAATGCCTTTATTGGCCTCTCAGAGAAAAAGTATCGCATACTTGTTATATTTCCATAATACGCAGCGTAAAATATGTAAGAGGGTTTTACAGATTTATTAGAAAAATCAGAATTATGATGAATTATCCAAGATCTTTTCATAGAACCATTCACATCTAAACCTTGATAGTATCTTAATGAAAAATAAAAATAAATTAAATTATCATTCTATTTATGTATAAGATTACAAAATAAAAATTTACTTTGGTATCTTGATCAAAGGAGTGTCTTCTTCAGGATCTTTAATGTCAAAGATAAAAAAATCATTTCCCCCTGCAGCATATCTATAAAATAAAGGAAAATAAAATATCGTTCTATACTTTTTTAAATTTATAAAATTTAATTAGACTTACTCAATAAGCAAATCCATCATATCCACATATCCAAGATAAATAGAATCCATCATCGGATTTCTTTTATCCATGCTGTTCTCTCCTTGAATTAAATATGTAACTAATCCTCCAGCCTTTTCAAGATTGTTGTCTAAATAATTTCAATCGAAATAAATGATTTGTTTAAATATTGTCTTTAAAAATTTAACAATCTCAACAATCTCACCTTCAACATATTGATATTTTTCAGCCCAATCCAAAATTTTTTTTACCATTTCTAAATCATTTTTTAAAACAGCTACTTCAAATCCACTTGAGTAATATTTATTTTCACTTATGTTGTGTTCTTCCAAGAATTTTTTAGGGACAATTTTTATATTCATAAAACATTTCTTATATTGAAGAAATTGAAATACTGAATAATTAGCTGTGGGCTTAATATTAGAGAGTTTGAATTTATCGTTTTCATCTTCAAATACATTCATTGAGGCTGATTGTGAAGATTCTTGGTATGTGTAATTCAAACCATCATCTATTTATCAATTTAAAGATAAGATATTATTTTTCCTTTATTTTAAAAGAAAGATTCATTTTACAATATAAATTACCTACCAATAATATCGTAATTGTTAATAGCATTAATAGCATTAATACTTTCATTCACTTCATCCTCTTCTAAATCAATCTTTTTCTTAGGTACATATTGACTAGAAACAATATCTAAAATTTTAACTGCCAATTCATTATGACCACGTAGACAAGCCAACATAAATGGTGTCATGTTAAATTTATCATGAACGGCAAAAACTAAAATTTGTGCCATTTTTTCAACTTTGCTAATGTCATTAACATAAATAGCTTGAAATAATTCCATATATTCTTGAACTAGTTTTTCTGGTACAACTTTTTCACAATATACATTATCATCATCAAGATAAGTGAATTTCATTATAAGTTTATCAAAATTTATTGGCTCAGAAAAAATGTTTTCAGGTAATGGTAATTCTAGAGTTGATTCTTCATTATATGGTTCTGGTTGTATAGATTCTTGATATGTTTTATAAATTTCATCAATTTCTTCCTGCTGCTTGTTTATAGCTTGTTGTAAAAGAATTTCTTCCTTAAGGTAACGTTCTTTTTCTTCAGATCCTAACACTTCAGCCTTTTCTTCCATTAATATCTTGATAGCATTTAACTGTTCTTGATATCCTTTCATTAATTTTTTTGGTATTTTTAAATTATTTTTCAAGTCAACTTCTTTTGAATTTTTAGCGCCATGATTAATAAAATGTTCTAAACATTCCTCGTTATAGTTTAATTTACTAATTTCTAGTTCAATTAATTTTGTGTATTTTTCTTTGAGTTCATTTATATCTTTGCTATTACAAGGCTTTTGAGATGAATGTGGAGGACATATTGTTGGATACATCTTATGATAGAAATCATAAAAATCTTTAATAGTATGCTGACTAAGTGCATATTCTCTATAAGATCCTTTTACATCCTCTTTTTCTTTTTTAATTAATTCCTTTAAATACTGCATAATTTTTGTTACTTTTATTTCTTTTGGAGTTTGCTTCTTTCCTTCATTTAAATGTTTTAAATTTTCTTTATAACTTTTAATATTGGCTTTATTATCATCTATTAATTTTTCAATTTTATCTCTAGCGTAGTTTTTATGATAAGTAGCATTGACATCTGCTCCAGCCTCAATTAAAGTACGATATAAATTATTTTGCAATGCATCAAATATGGGCTGCTTTATGCCCTCAAATAATTTATTTGCTGTAGAATACTTATTTTTAGGTAATTTACGATTATAATATTCTTGAACGTCCTTTAATGTAATATTTGTCTATTTAAAGATGATTGAATTAAAAAAAATTTTTCAATTAAATGAACAAAAAAAAAAGTAATGAATAATTGATTAGTTACTTACTCTTGCACCGTACTTAATTAATAATTCGATGATTTCTAAATGATTATTATCAATAGCTAGACATAGTGGGGATTTAAGAGAACTATTCAATGAATTAATTATTTTTGATGATATTGGATCCATATCAAGTAACAATTTAACAAATTGTATTTTTCCAGTTTGAACAGCAAAATGTAAAATGTTATTAAATGAGTAACCGATCTAATAAAAAAATATTAAATAAATTTAAATTTTTTTTTTTTAAAAAAAAAAAAAATAAGAAATAAACAAAAATCAATTTTTAAAAAAAAAAATTTAAAATTTACTTGAGAAGCTGAAGCACCATTTTCCAGTAAAATTGAAGCAATTGCTAACCCAGATTCCTGATCTTGAATTAATAAACATAAATTTAATGGATAGCAAGGTTCATATCTTAAAAATTTGCAATTCTTATCCTGTAATTTAATTAATCTTCGAACGTTTGCTCCGGCTTTAACCAATTGTCTTACTATTTCTACATTTCCAAATAATATGGCATAGTCTAAAGGAGCTAGCGGATGATCCCAAGATTCGGCATTTATATCTACTATGTCGTCATCTTGTTCATTCTCATTTTCTGGGTCTAAAATTGGATCGCCCTTGGATACCATTGATGATTCTTGCGTTTCATCAACCATTTCCAATGAATCATCAATTATCATTACATTATCATTAGTTTCCTGTTGTTCTTCAATTTGCATTTGATTATTTTCCAATTCTCTATTTTCTTTTTCTTGCGCTTCTTTCTTATTTTCATCACTTTTTTGTAATAATAATCTTAAAATATCTAAAAATCCATACTGTGAAGCCAAATGAACGACAGTTCTACCATCTGGCATTCTTGCAATGATTCTAGCACCATGTTGTAATAAAATTTTAACTATCTCAGTATGACCTCCCAAAACAGCCAACTGTAATGGAGTCCTTCCAAGATAATCTCTTGCTTCGACATCAATCTTGATCTGGGAGTCCTCATTAACATTTGGTAAGGAATTCTGCTTTAAGAGATTCTCAACGACATCCACGTCGCCTCTTGCACAAGCATTACACAGATCTTCTCTAACATTAGTAATATAAGCTTGTGCTGCCCAATCATCATCGGTTAATGGATGAAAGCTTCCAATAGTTTGCCTTCCTGGATCATCCTTTATAAATTCCATTTTACCTCTTACAAATGTTTTATCTTCTTCAATTTGAGTAGCAACTTCTTCTGAAGTACTAGGAACGGGACAATAACCACAACCATCATTAAAAATTTGTTCCATCGTTCCAAAGAAGCATGGATGTCTATGTAGAACTCTCTCTTTGTTTTTTTCATACCACTTTGAATTCAATACCATATCCTAAAATTAATGGAAAAAAAGAATATTTGTTAAATTCAAAGATAAAAAAAAAGATAAAATAAATTTATACCGTACATACCTTTGTATAAAGTAATTTCATAATTCTTTTCGCGTCATATTTAGGACCATATGGTAAAGTTACCGTTTCATAATCATTATTTTCAAATTTATTTAATTTCATATTGCTACGTCTTCTCGGTCTCCTTGATACATATTTACCAGAATTTGGATGTTTTGGACGACAATTGCGTTCACGTTTTTTTTCTATATATTCAAATCTTTCATAAGGCGTGTTTAGACGTTCTAGTACAAGTAAACGAGCGAGACCATTAAGTTTTTCAAAACTTTTTTCATATATTGTAGGGTCAATTCTGGAGCGATCTAATGATGGAACTTTGATCTATTTTTTGTAAATATAATAATTAAGTATTTATTGTAAATATATTTTAATATATAATTGCCCGGAGCGAAGCGAAGGACTATATATGCCTACGCATTATGAAAAATTATCGATCACGTGAGTTTATCTGTCCTCACGTGACGTCATCGAAATCGCAAATCTGAGTTTTATCGCTCCGGACTTACAACGGTTTCCGGTTCCTAGTAACATAAATATTTAATTACAGACCTCAAAACCTCTTTCTGCATATTTTACCAATCTCATCTCATATGATGGAGACCTTCTAGTCAAGTCAACAGTGTTACATTGTTTAATGATTGCTTGATGAGCTCTTGGTAAAGCCCAGACATTTTTACCATCGAACCTGTATAACAAAAATCCTGGATTTGTTAGAAAATAGGGTTATTATTTTATTAAGAAATGTATCTGAATAAACATTACCCAACGCAACAACAATCAACATCAAAGCCAGTAAGAATTTCTGAAGGAGAGTTATATAATCGAAGTATAATCTAATTAATTAAAGAAAAAGTTTTTTATATCTAAATAAGTAAATTTTCACAATTATTACAAGATATTATTTTAGATCATTTTGATAACATACTTGAATGTGACGATAAGGATATTGACTTAAAATTGTCACACAATGTTTACTTCGAAAACATGCAACTGCCCAAGGAATAGAATTACAAACAGCTTCGTAAATCTCTATCATCTTTTGCTTAGCTGCTTCCTCGTCCAGTCCATAAATGAAAAGATCGATATCAGAGTCTCGATAGGAAATATCATGATACCAATCACGAGTTTTACGTGGGCTAACACCATATTTTTGGGGAATTGGAAGAAGGCATGACAATACTGCGCCACCTATTCAAAATTTAATTAAGAAAAGGGGATCGAATTTTTTTTTTGCTTATAATTTAATGAATAATTTGAGTAATCTCAATACCTGCTGCAAATACATTTGACCAATCCAAGCCAGAGAGACTCGCTAAATTTATTGATATAAAAAAAAGATATATGTTTTAGTAAAAAATTTTCAAATCAATTTTGCGAATACCGAGATCAAATTTTTTTTTCTTAACATACATTCAGTGAAGAGATTCCAATTCTTTTGGAATGTTTCAATCCCACCAAGACAAATAGCAGGATCACCTTGATCTAATATTTCCTCTTCAGGCAAAGGCATAACATACATTCCATCTTCATCATCTTCATCATTATCAGTTTCATTATCAAAGTACCTATTTTTGACTTCCCAAATATCTTGATTTTCGTATACGTTAATCAAATTCAAATACGGTTGACGCAATAATGATAATTGGGGAGGATCAATATCATTAGGTTGCTGAGCAAATAATCGACGATAAACTGATTCTTCAATCAGAGATGTTTTGACGCCATTCACATCATTTTTTCGAAATGAGGATAAATATTTTGCTACATTTGGTTCATTTGCATATGTCGATGACATTGATGTTGTTGAAAACAATCTTACTAACGGTAACCTAGATAAGGATTGCATGGTGGAGTAGACTTTTTTTTTAAAAAAAAAAAAGAAAAAAAAGGAGTCAATATTAATAATTTATACACCAAATCAACCTATCAGATGATACCGAATTACCGATCGACAAAGGCCCCTTAATATTTATTGATTTAAGTAAAAATAAAAAATATGATTTATAGATGAAAAGTGTAATACTAATAATTTTAATTTTAACGTGAACTTAATATATTTCTTTAACTAATAATTTTTTTTAAAAATAAAAAGATTTTAGATTCATATAATGTCCAAGTTTTCGATTCACCATTATCACATTATGAGTATATATTATTAATACGAGCGATATTTCTTTTAAAAATAATTTTACGTTTGGATTTCATACCAAGCAATAAAATTGTGAGGTTAAATACTGTCCTCGAATATGACAATGAATTCAAGAAGTGATAATAAAGTAAGAAGGTTAGCGGGTTTTGTCTTTTTTGAAAGGAACAACAGACAAAGCAGATGAATCAGAATCTGCGGGATTATTACAATTATATTTAAGAAGCTATAGTAACATTTAAACCTCAATTCTGGTTGGTCATAAAAATGTTCCTGATTAGTTATCTTAGGGAAATGGAAAAAGTAACGAATATTATTATATTAAATCTCAAATCGATTATTTCGTATCGGTCATAATACATTTTTTCTAGTTTACAAAATAACAGTCGAAAGATGAGTTTTATGAAACTTTTTTTTTTGCAGAATATCGATATTCAACGAAAAAAAAAAAAATATTAGAATTTGACCGGTATTTTTGTCTTATTTGATAAATAGTTAATATGGAATATAACAAAAAGAATTTTAAATTCAATGATTTTTGAATTAAATTAATTAAATTCATATTGTTAAACCTTAAACGTAATATTAGAACAAAAATAAACCAACATCTAACATTTCGTGTAATTAATTATAAATACCGTACCCTATAATACAAAATAACTATTACAAAATTCGAGGTATTTTGAGTGGATGCTCTTAGGGTGAAAAAGTCCGTTACAATCCTGTCAAAGTTCTAGGACTTATTGGTCCTAACACATAGACCGATATATATTACGTAATATTTTAGGACGTGGGCAAAGATTTTATATACTATGTGAGGGGTGGGTTAAAACTTATATGAAAATAAAACATTTTGACGATAAATAAATTTACTATTGGTCAGCTGAACAATAAATATTACATTCCTATTATAAAGTATAATTTGGGACTGCGGTATAACAGGTGATTTCTATTAAATCAACTAGATTTCTTGTGGCTTTGTTGCATTATAATATAAATATAGAAAATTCCTGCGGTTAATCACCAATTGGCGCAAATCACATTGTAATTTATAATGTCAGAAACCGGATTATTTAATCCGTTAATTCTAGAATTTTTGGAATTAATGGAAATTCTATTTACGTAAAGTCTTCATATCACGTTAATAATTTAATATATATAAGAAATATCGAAACCTAAAAGAAGTAAGTTAAATTATATGGTTTTGTTTATTTATTTATAAATGAATACTACGAAAAATTAATAATATAATTGTTTTAATGCTGGGATGAAATAAAAGAAATTCTAAAGGATAAAATCTAATGTTATATATAAAATTGTGATATAGTATAATAAGAGATATATATATATATGAATCACGAAAGTCACCGAATAGAGATTTCATTATTGGGATCGAGTTTGTGGGTTGTTTATTGAGGACCAATTATCCAGAATTTGCCGAAGAATATCTGAATTAGTATTATTAGAAATTGTGCCAATATTATATTTTACCTCATGACAATTAAAATTGCCATAATTAATGCAAGGAAAGACATTATTAGACCGAGGCAAATCTTTGTTAACATATTGTGGAGGTGAAGTGTTATTGGACGTGGGCGTGAATTGAAAACCAAAAGGAGCATTATCTGAAGAGTTAAATGGTTGATTATTAGGAATACTATCACTATTGTTAGGAATGCCATTGGACGTGGGTTGTGAAGGGGAAATTGTAGTGTTATTTTGCTGGAAATTTGAGCCATGAATGCTTGGATGTGCGGAAAAATTATTATCATCAATCACGGATAAGTTATTATTACTGTCGTAAGAAGAACTATAGTTATTATTATTTGTTGAAGAATGTCCCTGGATATCACTGGGTTGTGATATATTATCGGTATAATTAAATTCATTATTGTTGCCACTAAGATTACTATTTTGTAAAGGGTTGGTATTATTCATAACTTAATATGAACGAAGTAAATTTCTTTTGAAGCTGGAAATTTATAATAAAAGGAAATATATGAGATGATGAACGAAGTATGTTTCTCTTGAAGCTGAAAATTTATAATAATTGAGTGGAATTCTAATTTGGTCCATGTATAGATTGTACAGTATATTTATAATATGTTACAAATAGGACAAAACTGCTTTTATTTTTTAACTCCGGAGTGTAACATTTAAACAATAAGATAACAAAGCCATTTTTACTATACCGGATAATGATTATTAACCAATCGGCTACTGCCGCAGTCAGGCAAACGCCTTGCATGTGTGTGTATCCTATAAGAAACCTTGTTATTTTAACCAAAATTGGTATTAAATGACGATAATATCGGAAAAAAAAATCCCGTACAGAACAAAAGCTTTTATAGCCAAAATATTGAAAGCATTTTACATGATGAATGGAGGATTTTCTTGGTTACAAAACCCGGAAATAATCTGAAACTAAAAAATGGAGAAATCCAAAATGAAACAAAAATAACAAATGAAAGGATTATTAAATGATAGAATGAAAAATAAAAGGACAAAAGAAACCCAAAAACAAAAATATAGTTCCCCGAGAATCGACTTAAAACCGAAAAAAATGAATATATAAAATAACGTGCATCAATCATTATACCGAATTTAATTTCTCAAAAGTATGCGAAACATATGAAGAGTTAAACCAAAAAATCAACAATATTCTTTATTTGACATTTATCATAAATATATATATATATATATCGAATTCATTGTATATACAAAAATTAGTTAAGATTATACGATCATTTAAATTGATTTTCTGAAAAATTTTATTATCGCGGTTTTCAAAATGATGTACGTAATTAAATTTGAATAAAAAAGAAAGAAACCGGACGAAATATGGACAAAAAGCGGATGAAAACCGGGCGAATATTGGTATTCGAATATACAATCACAAAATAAACTGCGTACACCATTTTGAAAACGGTGATAATATAGTCGTTTGTAATTGATATGATTGCTATTTTTGATAACGTTTAAATTTTATATTTTGTTACAATAATTATCTAATATTAAGAAAAATATTACTGTAGTAATAGTTTAATGACCCGACGATAATTATTATTACCTCTAGCGGTAAAATAATAAAGGAATTTAATATTCCATACCATTAGCCTAATATAGAAATAAATTATAAATGATTATAAATTATATCAGTACAGCATATAAAATTACAAATATTAACAACGTTGCCACGTGTTCATCATTTATCTTTTATCGTGTTACAACTGTTACATGCCCCTGTTTTGCAACACGCAAAATTAGTATAAATACCCAAGATCTTCTCACGTTTATCAAATTTATCAAATTTCTTTTTATCGAGATCAGAAAAAAAAAAAATAAAAGAAAATAATAATAATAATTGAAAATACCGTAAAAGGTTTATTTAGAAATTTTCATGTTGATTTAGACGTAACTTGTGTTAAATTGATGCGCTTCTTTATCATGGTATTATCGGAACAAGTTTTCGTTGAATTTTGTAAAATTATTCAGATTGCTTATCTAGTCATCTTCTAATGATGTTACTCCATCTAGTGTCAAGAGAATATGACAAGAAAAATCATAATCACATAATTTAATAGATAAGCTGATGATGCTTGTATTGGTAGTTGATTCCGTGGTTAATTGTCAGAATATAATGGAATAGTTTAAATTTCAACTTCGTTTTACTTTTTCTTTGAAGTCCATATAACAAATAAGATAAAGATTTACGTTACGGAACCTATTCTTTTATTGGGTAAGACGTTTTTCCAACGTTAAATAATCTGTTTATTGATTAATTATTTTTTTTATACGTAGCTGATGAAAGAAATGATGCATTTATTTGATGATAACATACTTCAACTGAACTCATTACTTGTGTCATTGTGAATTAGAATGGAATCTTATGTTGATAAAACGAGAACCGGTGAAATTTGGTAATTATCTCAAAGGAGAAAATTTAGGATTTTACGCTAAAGACCCTATTGTTTATTGAAGTAAGACGCTTTTTCAACGCTAAATGATTATTTGAAGTTGTTTACTAATTAAGGATATTTGTTGTACATATAGATTCTTTGATGATAATGTACTTTAGTCGAACTCAATCACACAAACCTACCTTTTTATTAGTGCACTGCAAATTATGATGTTATGCTATCTTTGTATTCAATGAATCTTAGATTTGGATAGCATTTGGTAAGTTTTGCTTATACAAATATTTTTATAGCATTGCATTATAATATAATACTAACATAATTTTTAATAATCATCATATGAACTTTAGGTAACTGATTAATGAAGGTTAAAAGTGGCGAAGACTCGGCAGCCAGTTTTAAAGAATTCTAATATTTTCATTCAACCCATTAATTAAACTTTGGAATATAATTAGAATTATCATTTTTTGATAGATGATTGATTATAGGGATAATATTTAATTTATTAATTGTAATTTTTTTAAAACGGCACACAATATACGTTCTTTACTTTGATGATGTGAGATTACATTCAAAAAATATTATTCTACATTGCTTGTATAATTCTTAGTGACTTGCGTGAAGAGGATGAATTTAACAAATTGGAAATTGTGGTTGTGCAACAATAAAGCTCTAGTTATAACACAATATCATTACATTTGCGATTCGATCATACTTTGATTGACGATTTTCTCGTTGATAAATATTGTAAGCAATTTTTCGTTTATTTTTTTTTTAATTTTTTTTTTTTTTTTTAAGTTGAACTAGGAGCTATAGATCATGTTGAATTATATTACCCTTGAACGTTTTTACTGTGTGATAACAAAGAGATGTTCCCAATACGTGATTGAGAAAACTGAAAAGAGAGATTGTTTTGAATGGATTAAAATTGAAATTTCTATGAATAAAATTATTAAAGAAACCCAATTCTAAAATTTTGAATTACATTACAAGTTTACAGCCGAGATTTTTTTCCAAATTTTTAATTTCGATATTGTAAAAGCGTTATGCGATTTGTGATGATAGCATATGAGTGAAAAGGATTTTCAAATTAAAGATAATATCTATAGTTTTTGAATTTATATTACCGTATTACGAATTTACAAATTTAATAGTGAATATTAAAATTTCCAGTTTTCGATTAGGCCATAGGTATGTATCAAAGAAAATATATTTAAAAAAAAAATTTAAAGTGAAAGCGTGTGACAAAATATTTACCGTAAAATTGTAGGTATCGTACGTCACGCATACGGCATACCTCGCTGTAAGTATACCTCCAAAGATTCGCATCGCATCTTGAGATTGATCGCACAAACGCATATAATACAGTTATTACATAAAGAATATATATGTTGTGCGTCAGATGACGATTTGTGTCAGATGCAGCTGACGTGCGTCACCTGAATCGTCATAGTAACTTTAAAATTTATTTCGAAAATTTAATGTTCAATTATAACATAATTATAGCAATTTTATATCACAAGTGACGCACGTCAACTGCGTCTGACGCACAAATTTATATCGCCGAAATCTACTCCGCTTTGTAGAACCCGCATAACTGAAAACTAATTTTTTAACCAAATGTTCGAATGACTTGGTTTATTTGTTACCCGAGTATTTACTGTAAATAAACAATTCCAACACTTCGGAACATTGAATCGATACAAGTATTAAATCAAATGAATAAAAAACATAAACTAAAATTGCATCTATAAAAAAAATAGATAAATAAATTTCAGCAAGATGTCTTCTCGGCAAGGCGGTATTTTGGAAAGTATTCCTTCGGTAAAATGAATTTCGGTAAAATGGTATTTCGATCAAGTGACTTTTTGTTAATACAACATTTCAATTCTATATAATGGACTTAGATAACTTAATTTTGATCGTTGGTACGCAATTACAAATTATTTTTTCTTTGATTCTTGATGATCAGTTGTTAATAACACTAAAATTAATGTGCTACCAATTGCTATGGTCAAGTCGTTCAAAGAATTTCCTTCAAACTTCCTCTGTTCGCTAATGATACACGATGATAGTGTTGCTTCATTGAAAGACTTTATATTTGTTTTAAATCTGCTTATTTTTTTATATTATTATTAAGAAATGAAGTTATTATAGTTAAAATCTTTTTTTACTTTAAGCTTATTTTATAATTTTCATCGACTCAACATATAAATAATAAATAATATATATATTGTGTAACACAATATTTAGGAAGCATTGCATAGGTTTATATTAGTACAGCATTTCGTAACATTGAATTTTTAAGGCTTAAATAACAAATAAACATTGAATCAATTTTAAATTTGTATATCGGAAAAATAAATTAATGATATGAAAGTTTACCTTTTATAGCATATAATTATTTTCGCCACGAGATCAGCGAATGTGATTATTGGTAAACCGCGATTTAATTGGTTGACTCGCAAAAAAGGTCAAAATATTGTGAATATTGCTGCCTCATTTTCACACTTCAACTTATTTACGATAAATGATTTAATTTAGAAATTTCATACAACAATGATTTCCTGATTTTTTGGTGGCTACGCTTTCTTGCCAAAAAAAATATATTTCATTGATGCACATCAAGGGCGTTGTCTTACAATCTGCATATTTATCGGATTTATTATTCCATACAATAATTTATTTATGCGATTCATTTGATAACTGAAGAAATTTCCGGCAAATGATCTTCACTTTTTAAGTTCAATTATTTTAAAGACGATTTTTATGATAAAATATTTCGTAAATTTTTTACAAACAATAATATAATTATCTTAATAATTAAGATTATTTAAAAAAAGAATTTGGTGTATTAAATTTTGAGTTCATTGTTATGTAAAAATTTCTCTGTTTTTTTTGTGTATTGCTAATAGCCGAACAAATTGGAGCGGTAGTACAATTTTCTTTTTTTATCTTATGGCGATAGTGTGGTGTCACTGTGGCATTATGATGCCATTATGACTGTAATCAATCTTATGAGCTTTAAGCCGAGCCTATAATTACCATAATTATCATTCATTATAAGACTTATTTTGGTCATATTAGATTTACTCCCTGTAAAAAATTTTTATCCTAATATTTTCATTATTTCTCTGTGTCTTCCGTAAAAATTCCGTGAAAATGATACATTATTACATTCATAGATATCCGTATTAGCGAGATGAAAATTTCCATGATTTAAGGCTATAAATTCCATGAAAATGATACATTCACGGAAAAAAATATGGAAAGATAAAACACGATCAAATTTTTACAGGGACTAATTACGTTTTCACTTAAAGCCCTTCGCTTGAAAACCAATCACATATACGAATATCTCTTTTCGCATTAAAAATTTAATAAAATAAATTATATTATATTATATTGTAGTAAGTGAAGTTCCCTTGTTATTTAAAAATATCAATGTTTTAAGAAAATAATAGGACCCAACGCAATATATTATTTCTGGTTACCTATTTCAGTATTGCTCGGGGCCCTAAAATAATTGTAAGTAAATTAGTGCTACATGTGCGAGTCTTATGCGTCTTTGTTAAAAAAAAAGGAAAAAATATTTTTTAATAATTTATTCTTTATTTATATAGAAAACGTTATGATAAGTTACATAGATTACAGATGAATAAAGACGTAGATAAAGATATAAAATAAATAAACAAAAAGTATCTAAAAATTCAATAATATCATCTGGAGGTCTTTATTTGTTGAAATTGAGCTCCAAAAATTACTGAATAGATAATTTATTGTTGGATCAAGTTCGTGAATTATTTGTTGATGAAGAATGATTCAAAATTTGTTGAAGACGATCTTGAATATTTGAATTATCTACTGGCATAATAATAATAAGATTTGCCTGAAAAGAATTAATATTAATGCCAAGTGAATTAAACAAAGGTAAAACATTAGACTGAGGATTTGATGTGGACGAGGGTTGTTGATAATTATGATGTGGAGTATTGCTCGAAGTGGCGTATTGTTGATGAGGAATATTACCGCTATTGTTAAAAATAGGATTGGATGTGGATTGCGAGGGAGGAATAGTAGTGTTGTTGTTGTTTGAAGCATTATAGGGCTGATAATTAGAATCAGGAATACGTGCGGAAAAATTATTATCGTTGTTGTTCATCGCGGTATTATTATTGTAAGTAGCATCATTGTAGTCAATATTTGTTGAAGCAGTTTGTGGTAAATTAGCGGGATAATTATTAAATCCAATATTATTATCACCAAGATTATTTTGTGAAGGATTAATATTATTCATGTTGTAAAATGTTAAATTTTCTTTCTAAGTAGAAAATATCCAGTGGCTTTTATAATGGCTAACACCTTAAGTAACGCAAAGTGTCCAATAACGCAAAGTGGCTAAAGTGGCTAATAAATATCCCTATTAGTAGTACAACTTTCTCAGTAATACCCGAAAAAGATCAATTTTTGGTAGATTTATCAATGAGAAAATGACTAATTCATTTGGCCATAGTAATCGATGTCGATCATGAAATGATCAGCGATTACTTATTTATTTGTTTTCCGTTGTCTTTAATAAAATTTTCACATAATAAATTCTTGAGTATAGTTTCTTATACTAAATTTCAATTTAATAGTGCACAAAATCTAGAAGGCCGATAGATAAAAAACCACATACTGTTAATAATAAAAAATTCTAATAATAAATTTTATAATTATTAAAGATAATTCCTCTAATTTTTTTTTCTATTTTTAGTTACAAATATAAAAATAATAATAAGTTTAATAAATAAATTACATGTAAATAGACACTATCTAGTGAACCCTCTATTTTAATTAATTACTCAGAATTGTACATAATAACAATACTAGAAATTTCAATATGTGATAACATAGATTCTAAAAAATATGAGTCTTTGTCCAAGTAGTATAATTAGAAGTGTGAAATTTTGAATATATATTTTTTGGAATCTGCCATCACGTATTAAAATCCAGTATATAGTATGTACAATTTTGAATAATTAACAAAAATAGAAGGTCCGCTGATATGCTATTGTCCAGTGTATTACACGGAGTAATAATTCAAAAATTTTCGCACGTGATTTTTAAGTCACTTACATGATCGACAACCATAAATAAAATTACAATTTATTTTTTATTGAGATAACACACACACAAAATATTGTATAAATATTTATAACAATATGCATACGAACTATGATCGCGTAAATTAAATTAATTAATCATGCATGCAGGTGTATGACACATCGACCGATTGACGCATACAATATTTTCTTAAAAAATATAATAAAAACAAAATAGACAAAGGAAACCAATATATTCTTTATTTCACATTCGCTAAAAATAATTAAGGTCTTACAAATACGGAAATTACAAGCATTAGTATTGACATTTACGATCATTTAAATTTGTTTTTTTTCATCGCTTGTTTTTAATATGAATACCCTGCCTCTTTTTTTTGATAATATCAAGTTATAAAATATCTCATCATTAGGTTTTTAATTTTGGTAAATAAATACACATTCCTTTCAAATATCAAAAAGAAATAGCAGATAGTTTTTTAAAACGAACACTAATTCGGGCGACACCACAAGCCAATATTCCTTATTTTTGTCGTGTTACAACTGTTACATCCCCTGTCTTGTCGTACAAAAAATGTATACCTAAATATCCGAGAATTTACACTTCTTCTTAAGATCAATAAGGAAATTAATGAATGAATGAATGAAAGTAAACATTGTATAATGCATTTCGTTAATGATCCCATTTCATGAAATCTGAATATCGGATAAATTTCCGTTAAACAAATTATCTTCTACTCATCTAATGCCAGAGGATTAAGAACATTAAAGAACATGTTAGAACAAATTATTATCAGATAATTTAATAAATCCAACTGATGATGATAGTATTGATAGTTGCTATTGTGGTTAATTCATCAGCATATAATGATGCAACGTACATTTCAATCACATGATCGTTTTACTTTATTTATCTTACTCTTAATTACTGATAAAAAATAAGCGAAAATCAATGTAGTTCTCCTAGCTAACCATAAAATAAATAAATAAATAAATAAATAAAAAAAATAAGCGAAAAATAAAATAATTATGTACCCTTCACTTTTAAAAATCGTTTGGTGAAACAGTAAGATTTTTTAGCGTAAAATCCATCCTCTTTGAAGATAATAGTACCGTTATTTTTAAAGACGCTAAATAATTATTTAAAGCTATTTTATTAATTAAGAATATATTTTATACATCTAGAATTCTAGATGATGATGAAAGAATTGCTACATTTATTTGATGATAATATATTTCATTCGAACTTTTTACTAGTATTACTGCAAATTAGAATGTTGCGCGATACTCATTCAATGAATTTATGATTTGGAGAAAATTTCATTGGTACGTATATTTTAATAACATTCCATTATATTAACATAATTTTAACATTCACGGCAGTAATAAATTCATATGAACTTTGAACTCGAAGCTACTGCAAATAATTCAAAATTTTAATTTAAGTGCCGCTAACGAAACATTGGAAAAGTGAAAGTCAAATCGTTATAATCATAATAAAAACTGAAAAAGGATTGAATGATACAAGAAATGAAGATTTTTTATACTGATTGAAGACTGTAAAGAGAAATAATGAGGCTTCTGATTGTTTTGAAGGGATTAAAATCGAAATTTTCTATGATTGAAATTATTTAAGGAACCCAATTTTAAAAATTTTGAATTACATTAAAATTTTTATAATCGAGATTTTTTTTAATTTCAGATGCTATAAAAGCGTTATGCGATTTGTGATGATAGAATATGAATGAAAGAATTTTCAATTAAAGATAATATTTATAGTTTTGAATTTATATTTATTATTACGAATTTAGTAGCGAATATTAAAATTTCCAGTTTTCGATTCAGTCATTAAAATATTTTACATTTTTGAAGGTCGAGAACTATTCTTCTCTACAATTAAACAAATCAATTTATGATAATTAATAATCATAGTTGTATGCAATGGATTTTTTTAATAATAATTTGAAGAAAATTTAAAAGTAATGCATATTTGTATCAAATTTTCTATCTTATATTTAAATTTGTTGATGTCGATCCCTGTCACGTTTAGAGTACCATGTATAAATAATTTTCAATTGTGTAACATTTCAATTGTGTAACCCTAATGTTATACTATAATCACGTGTAGCTTTAAACATGTGATCTCTTTGATGCTGCGGTTAATCTGCAAAATATCTGTCGGTTAAAATTAAATATTACTTTTCATAAAAAAATAAAATGAGAATCATGCATTTCGTTAAAATTTGATTGAACAAGTTATCTTATCAGATACATAAGATATTAAAAATTTTTAGTTCTTTCAGCTAATTTAATTAGTAAATAGTTTGTTTAAACTTTATACTCATACGAATACAATACATACGTAATAAAGTTAATTGAAGTTTAAGTTAAATAAAGAAATGAAAATTGAGTTAAATAAAAAAATATATAATTTACATGAAGATTCCACTTGCTCTATATCTCATAGTTCAGAACTAGCTTCGCTTACAAGTTTAATCATTTAGGATGAAGCCCCAATGACGAACCGATATGCATTTGAAGCTTTAGATCGAACTTTTGAGAGATATTATGAAGGCTTTGAATCCAAATTTAGAAGGAAAACCATTTGGAGGTAAGGTTGTATTATTTGGAGGTGACTTTCGGCAAATTCTTCCTGTTGCTGTAAAGGGAAGCCATAACCTTGAACGAATTTGAAATTGATACGTGAAGACATTGTTGAATTATGTTTATGTCAATCTACTTTGTGTAAGCATGTAAATGTTATGAAACTAAAGATTAACATGCGTCTTTTTAATGCTACTACTAATAATTCTGATACTGCTAAGCAAGCTGAATTTGCTAAATGGTTACTTAAGGTCGTGTTCCTGCAATTTCTAAAACAGAAAGTGATATTATTATACTATCTGAAGATATTGTTTTATCATCTCAAGACCTAAATGACCTAATCAAATTTGCGTATCCTGATCTTTCAATGTATTCTGATCCCAAGTATTTTGTTGAACGTAGAATACTTGCTCCTACAAATGAATATGTTAACTCCATCAAAACTATTATTATGAATCAATTTCCTGCTGGAGAAGCATTTGAGTATCTCAGTGCAGATACAGTTGAGGAAGCAGATGATCAAACAAGAGTTTCTCTACTCTTTAACTGTTAGTGGTCTTCCACCTTATAAGTTAATATTGAAATTGGGAACTCCAATTATACTATTATGTAATCTTCAACCTAATGATGGTCTCTGTAATTGGACAAGATTAGTTTGCCGCACTTTTCAGAATCATGACATTGAAACTGAAATAATTACTAGAAATCATCCTGGAAACCAGAGTTTTCATTCCTCGCATTATGATGTCCCTTCAGAAACAGAACTACCTTTCATTTTCAAACGTCATAGCATTTGCAATGACCATAAATAAGTCTTACGGGTAAACATTAAACTGGGTTTATATCTTCCAACTCCTGTGTTTTCTCGTGGACAATTCTATGTTACCTGTTCAAGAGTGAAATCAAGAAAAAATTTGAAAACTCTTATTACTATACGGCATGGCAAAAATGTTACACATAATGTTATGTATCCTGAAACCTTTCAATAGAAACTTTTTAGATTATTTTATCATTCTATTATTTATTTGTTATTTGTTCGGATAGCTCATGTAAAATACAAGAAACTGTTTTAAAGACAAATTTAATTAAAATCTTACATGATTGCCACCTATTTTTAATTGTATTATGCTATTACAATATTAAACCCACGAACCCGGGGCAACGCCCGGGATATCGGCTAGTTATTTATTAAAATTCTTGCATTAAAAATAAAGTATTAATATTTTATATTGGAAAAAGATCTTGCTGAGAGTTAAAAAAGAATTTTTTTTTAAAAAAAAAATGATTGAGCGTTTCCTACCAATTGAAGATCATTAAAGAAAAAGTGGTTTTTAGGCGGTTTTAGCTCGCTTGTTGTTCATCAAAATAGGAAACTCTCTGAAACTTTCTAATATTCTTTTGATCAATCAGAATACTTATCAGTCTAATAATTGAATTGTTTGGGAACACCTTAAAAGTTAAAAGGCAATATCAAATTTATTTTAAAGATTTCTTGCATTAAAAGTAAAATAATTTTTCTATATATAAAAAAATCTTGCCAGGAACACATTTTTGTCAAAATAGGAAACTAATATTTTTTTGAACAATCAGA